GGAAGGAAGGAAGGAAGGAAGGAAGGAAGGAAGGAAGGAAGGAAGGAAGTTTGATGAATGGAAGGATGATCAGCTGAAGGGTTAACACTGGGCAGTTAAAAATTAAGTGGGAACTATGCCTAATCACTTAGCAAGGCAGAGAGGTGGAAATGGAAGGCCCTGCAAACAGTTTGGAAGTATTAGAATGTTCTGAGCACAAAGAGCTCTGCCTCCATAAAGATATGACTTATGTACATAAAACCATAAAGATCACTATTAAAGAGGAATGAATAGTCTAGTAAACAGCATCAAAAGTCATTAAATGGTCCAAGAAAAAAGGCAAAGCATCTTTCAATCCAGGAGTAAAGGAGAACATATCAGGATGCAATGAAGCAAACAAAGACTGAAATAGTGGTGAGAGAAAGTTTGTGAATCATTTGTGAACCATGTATATATCTGAAGGACTGCTTGTACTCAGTTGTATTATTGGCCTGGGCCATTAGATCTGAAAGAGAGATCATGTTACAGATCCCACGAGCTAGGGATCTGCGTTTGATGGGTTCAGAAGATATTCCTTCTCTGTTGTGGTGCCTGATTTATGGAACATCCTAACCCTCCTCACCCACCCAATAAATTAACTCCACCCCTTCTGTTATTACAAAAAAACCCTCAAGACTTAGTTATGTTATCAAGTTCAATCAGAGTACGATGGCAATCAAGTATGAGTTTGAGGAACCTGCCCTTATTAAAAAAAAAACCATGTTAGGGATTAGCATCAGAGTCTGCTCCCTTTTGACAATCTGTAGAAACGAATCCTATCCCTAGAAGATATAAATCCTATATTTATACTATAGAGTATAAATAACTGAATAGAACTCAGAAAAAGGTTTTGTTTTTAATGTTCATAAGGCTGGAAGAGGCTATTATGGAAGATTTAGGCCACTATCAATCCAAAGGTAGCCACATGGCAAAGAAAATACACACCATTGTTACCCTTCCTAGGAATGGTTGTCTAACAAAAAGCAGCCCAAGAACAAGAGGTACAATTCTGAGGAACAGCAAAGAATAATGGCAAAGGATTTGTAGATCAGTCTTACATTATCTAATGCTATGTTCATGAATCTATCAAGAAGAAAATCACTGAACAGGAGTGATATGCATGAAGAAACCATTACTGGAAGAAACCATTACTGACTAGAAAGCATATTGTTTCCTGTCTTGTTTGCCAAAGAGCATCTGAAAAATCAACAGTCTAATGGAACAAAGTTCTCTAGTTAGGTGAGACAACCATGGAACTAATGAAAAACATTATGTTTGGGTGGTGATGGTGGGAAATCATGTATTCCAAAAAAGAAGCCTCATTCAGTCAATCATCAAATGCTGTAAAGAGAAACTGCTTATAGTCTTGTCCCAAAGGTGCTTTTGTTTCAAACCACTAGGAGCTGGATGACTGAGAATCTCCACAGACATTTGGTTATAGTCTCAAACTTCTAAAAGATGACACTGAGAAGCACTGCTTCCCTATGGTAGTGCCAACACTCGGGAATGGCCTTCCTATAGACATCAGACTCATCACTTCCTATTGACTTTGAGGAAAATGCTGAAAACAGAGTTATTCCATTCTCTTAACTTATGCACTAGGCCAAGGGTGTCAAACTCAAGGCCTGCGGGCCGAATCTGGCCCACAGGAGGCTTAAATCTGGCCCGCGTGGCCAGCCTGGAAATATCAAAGGATGTGGCACCTCTGCAAGCCAAAATGACGTGCAGCCTGTTTTCAGCTGGGAGAGTGCTGCTGGAGGCTGGGGACGCCAAAAACGAGGTGCTAGAGGGGGGGAAGGCCCCCCCATGTCCGGTTTTGGCTGACAGGTTGCTATAGGAGGTGTCTGTCCCATCTGCCCCCCACCTTCACCGGCCTACGGAGAACTACAATACTGATCTGGCCAGGGGTGGGATTGTACTTCTTGTTGATAGCTAATTCAAGGAAATTCATACAAATACTTTCATCTGCATTCCTCGCTCTAAATGTAAGCATGAATTTTCCTGCTGAAGCCTAGGTTTTGTTTTGTTTTGCCCCCTGCAGGTAAAGCTTTGTGATATTCCATTGATTGATATTTCATTTCTGGATCATAATAATGAGTCCCATAAGCTGTTAATATGACTCTGTAAATAAAGAATTCTATTCTATATTACATGTATTGTTACAATGCTATTACTCACTTTCATTCTCTTGGTGTGACAAAAATGGATAAGTTTCAGCTCTTGAAACTTTCATTTCTGCCATGAGCATTCTAAGAAACCCTCTAGCACAAACTTTGCACACATTGCCACGCTTGATAATTTAGGTCTAAATGATCTGCTCTCTTTAATCAATTCTACCTTTCTCATGTGAAACTCAGTGGTTATTATCACAGAATTGTGATTGATTACAGAAATCAGATTGTTTGCAATCTTTCCATTTTTTGACCTAATGACACAGTATTCACAATCAGTGTCCTAAACTGCATCTGGCAATGAATTTCAATTTTTGATGTGGCTGGCAATGAAAAATTCACTCACATCACGTTGCTTAAAACTTAATGACACAATTCAACTTTACAAACAATAGCCATACACAACTTTTGTTCACAGGAATTTTCATCAAATTAAGTGAAAGAACAGATGTTAGTACTGCCATCTCTTGGTGACTTTTAGTATCAAGTCATTAAATGTCATACAACTCTCATATAAAACAACAGCATTTTAGCACGAGAGTTTAGCATTCATTCCCACAACAAAATTGAAGTCGAGGAGTAATAAAGTGAAAGGGGAACCACATTTACTTGTTGTGCATAGTGCAGACTATGCTCTCTGAAATGCATTTCGAAAATAGAGGCCCAACTTCCACAAATCTTCCAGTCAAATCTTCCAGTCAAAAGTCAATCAACCACAGTGAGCATCAATTCCAATAAAACAAATCGCAAAATGGAAAGAAAAAACAAAACAAAAGGGAAACAAGCAAATAAAATAAAATGTGGAAGTACCTCACTTTGAATGCCCATTATGGAGATGGCAGATATTCTGCTATCAAGCAGGGACTATGGAGAAATAATAGGTTACAACTTTAGAGCAGGGGTGGGATTCTACCAGTTCGTACCTATTCGCTAGTACCAGTTAACATTCTAAGCAGTTCGGAGAACCTTTTGTTAGAAGAAATTATTGGCCTAATCCTGTAAGGAAGGCAGAAAGGAAACATTCTGGTGTTGCTTACAGAAACTGCCTCTCCGTTAACACTTATTACATTTTTGGCAGGACTAGACTTCCTGTCTCAGGAACTTCTCTGGAGTTTTTTCCCCTCCTTTGCTGGTACTTTGCTTGTGTGGAGTGACCATTTAAAGTTACAATGGCACTGAAAAAAGTGACTTATGACCATTTTTCACACTTACGACTGTTGCAGCATCCCCACAGTCATGAGAAGCCAGGCGAGGAGATGCGTGCCTCGATGTGAGTGATATAGAGTTGGCCACACCCAGACAATAACATGACCACCAAGCCATGTCCACCCAGTCACATGACCACCAAGCCACACCCACCACCTAAGCCATGCCCACTGAACCGGTTGTTAAAAATTTTGAATCCCACCCCTGCTTTAGAGCATATTGATTCCAACGATAAAAGGATGGACTTCCTACTAAACAAATTTCAATTCCAAAACTTTCTCAGTGGTACAAATACAGACAAATAACAATCAAGAATTATTGAGTTTCTTGAGTTTTTCACTTACCTTCACAAATATCATAGGGAGTGTCTGTTTGGCTCTACTATAATGCCTTGCCACTCTGTATACTGTCTCAGGAACATAGTCCAACACCAAATTAAGATATACCTCATCTTTCTGAAAAGGTGAAAAAGCAAGAAAACAAGAAAATCTGTAATAAGATATCCATATCATAATACTCATTACTATTATAACATAATATGGTTTTTCAAGTATTTTTTAAAAACTTTTTGTTAAAATTTGTTATCTGACAAAATTCATTTTTGTAAAGGATACCACTTAAGCACATGAGATTATACAAGGAATGCAATAAAATTCAATCATATTTCAACTATCATAAAGTTTTTTACTTGAAACAGAGGCATAGAGATATGAATATTATGAAGTAATATCATGTACTACATTAAAGGGAAAGAATAAGAAAAAAAGAAGGAAAGTGACAAAAGAGCTCAAGGGGAACTAGATAGTGAAATACATTATAAGTTTATAAATCCCCCTAACATTTTAAACATTCAAAATGTAACTAAAAACATATTCTATCCCCTGAAATTACACTTACCTTTTGATCTATAGTGACAAGAGTTTGCTACTAGCTAGAATATCTTTCTTTATCCACTTTAATCAGCTTCTTTCTCACTTCAAAGCACAAAGATTAATGTAGAATTTCACAAGAATAAGAACTGTATTTGTTGCTGTTCAGCTACATGTTTGTTCCACCAAAATGAGACAGACTGCAAATACCGCTTCAAATATCATGCCTTGTTTTCTTAATAAACTCTTTTAAAATACATGCTACTGATATGTATGCATTATATGTATGCATTCAGCCACCCCCTACTTTTGTTGTCAGATGAATGTTCAAAATGATAAGGAGATGATCCACACTAAAGCTTTGTCTGTTGCTCGTATTTGTCCTACAAATTTATTAAAATTCTAGAAAATCATTTTTTTCCAACTTACCTTCTCTCCACTGGAGTAAAAGAAATAACGTAATCTGACAATGTTACAATGATCAAGCTTTCTCATGATTTGAAGCTCTCGATTCTAAAAAAAAAAAAAGGATATTATTTAAAAGGTTGTTTTCTAAAATCTCATTAGTTCATGATTTGATATAGGGCTTATACATTTTGTCGGTCTGAAAAAAGATACAATATATCCTGCATTAACTTTTACTGAAATAAAATGTAGCATGACAAAGAATTTTAGAGTACTTAGACAATATGTTCAATATTTAAAATCATTTGAAGTACTGTATATACTCGAGTATAAGCCTAGTTTTTCAGCCCATTTTTTGTGCTGAAAAAATCCCCCTCGGCTTATACTCGAGTCAGATTCCCCTCTGAAAAAAAATGGTGTGGAGTCGCGGCCTCCGGCGGCAGCGACTCCCAACAGCCCCAGCCGGGAAGGGAAAGGCAAAAAGCGCTTTGCCTTTCCCTTCCCGAGGCGGCGGGACTGGGGCCGCGCCGGCGGTAGTGACTCCTGACTCAGGGGGCCTCCGAGGGAGGGGAAGAGAGTGACTCCTGCCTCCCGCTGTCATCATCATCTTCTTCTTTTGGGTTAGTGAATCAATTAAACCTTTCATGATAGTGAGATCGTTTCCCAAATTAATTATTTTTATTTTTGAAATTTACCAGTAGCTGCTGCATTTCCCACCCTCGGCTTATACTCGAGTCAATAAGTTTTCCCAGTTTTTTTGTGTAAAATTAGGTGCCTCGGCTTATATTCGGGTCGACTTATACTCGAGTATATACGGTATATACTATGTTAACAGCATAGGTTCAAATAAAATTAAAGCTCCATACAAATTACCAGAAAAATTGGAATGTTCAAGCTAGTATTTCTCAATTCCTAAGAAAATACGTATTACAGTACATTAGATGCCTGCAAAGAATACTTACAGAATCAAATAATTATAAAGGCCCATTAAGTCTGTTAAATCCAACTTCCATTCAATGCAGGAATCTAAATTGAAGCATCCATCTAGGACAGGACTGTCAAACTCACAGCCTGCAGGCCAGATGCGTCACATGCTGGCCATGTCCATGCTTGGTTTAGCAAAGGGAGAAAAAGTCCCGACACATCACATGACACCGTCGTGACGTGAGTTTGGTCTAGGATGATGATCTATCTGTCCTCTTTTTATTCTGTGCCTTACATCCTGAGATTATACAAAACAGGACTTTACTTTTTTCTATATCGTACCTTTAGGATAGCCCTTTAATATTTTCTTATCAGTAACATCTAAAATCCCTCTTCATAAAAATTAATTTCTAATTTCTTAATTATTATTAAAACTTCTCATCTCCAAGGCTGCCCAAAGTTCTCTAAACTATTCTTAAAGACTAGGGTATAGAACTGAGGACTATTTTTGAGATGGGAGTCTCATCAAAATAGAATAAGATAGAATGATTGTTTCCCATGATTTTCAAATTATAATTCGTTGCCGAAGTTTAATTTTATATTTGCCTTTTTTGAAGCCACAAGACACTAGTGGGTCAGATTCTATTTGCAATCATCTACCATTCCAAAATCTTGTTCACAGGTATCAATCAGCCCATGCTCCAGCTAAGCATTTGATTTTTGTTTCCCAAATGATGAACTCTGCAGTCAACTGTTAACTTTTATTATTATTTTCATTGCTATTTAAGGCTATAAATACATAAATTGTGTAAGAAAGAAAAAAGCATATGAACCTCCTGAACAGAAAATACTAAAAAAAAGCCCAGAACCTCCTGAACAGAAAATACTAATATTACCGTGATAAAATTAAATATCTAATTTCCAATTGGCAGTAATCAAATATTGCAATGCAACCCTACTGCCCTTTACAGAAATTAACAAATTAACTGTTACTGTAAATATTATACAAAACCAACAGGAAATAAAAATAAAATAAATTTTAATGAAGGAGTATCTTTTTAATGGTCAGTTTAATAAAAGAAAAGTGGGGTAAATAAATAGGGGAAAAGAAAAAACAGAAAGGGAGAAGAATCACAACTGCAAAAATTATATTTTGTAAGTTCCCTGTAACTGATCATACCAAAATCAATACAAATATATCTTCAGTGAGGGGTGGAACTGCCTCAGTGGGTTCTTTGTAAATTATTCCACATTATTTTAAGTTGCCCCAATTTGTTAGGACTATTTGAGATTTCTTGGGTTTTTTCCTTTCTTTTCTTTTAACTCTTTAGAGCAGGGGTCCCCAACCACCGGGTCCCGGACCGGTACCGGTCCGTGGATCACTTTGTACCGGGCCGCAAAGAAATAAAAATAAAAAATAAAATAAAAATGGCGGCTTTCTTCGCCTTCGGTGAATGCTGCTGGGATCAGGGATCAAGAACACAAAGGAGAGAAGGGGAGGGAAGAAGCAACCGAAGCCTGTCCTGCTCTCCGGCTCAGCGGCTTTGGTTTCCTCCCGCCTCGTTCCTCTCTCAGTCACTCTCTCGCTCCTCCACCAGCCCAGGAAGAAACTGCTTCAAAGAAGCCGGCAGGGTGGCTTCCTGAGGGATGAGGCTGAGGGAGGGAGGGAGACACCTGAGGGATGAGGCTGAGAAAGGCAGGGCCGAGAGGCGGGGCTTCTCAGCCGTCCTGCAGGGACTTGTCCTGAGCCGCGGAGACAGCCGTGGGCCGCCACCGCCCAGCTTTGAAGGCGCTCCTCAGCCAGGCGCAGTTCCTGAATCTGCAGCTGAAACCCTCCGTTTTATATGTCCCAATAGAAGAGAATATCTGTCGCTCAGGGTTGCAATGAGGAGGCATTGGCGCTCCCTGAACTTGGTGGTTTGCTGGCAGACGTTTTATTACCCGACTAGGTAACAACATCAGATGTTACCTAGTCAGGTAATGAAACGTCTGCAAGCAAACCACCAAACTCGGATTCTTC